ATTCCAAATGCACTACAAGTTCACATTTTCATCTATTCAGGGAGTTGACAAACATCCAGAACAAGCTTTGTCATCAATCAACATTTCACCTTTTTTAAATTGAGAAAACCACTTGTACGCTTTTTTGCCCACAGCTGTGTTCAACATCACAGTAGTTTCTGCCAGCATGTTTTCCCCAAGCAGGAATCAAAATTTCACAGCTGCATGCTGTACTATTAAATCGACCATCACAAAACAAACAAACAAACAAACAAAAACAATGAGTTTTGAGCAAAAATGCTTTTACATAAAAATTCACTGTAATCAGAGAGAACCTTCCCACATGAAGCCACTGTGTGCATAACTTAGAGTGAGCTGCTGAATGCTTGCCTAGTGGGAAAAATGCATACTATGGAAGATTAGCTCTGGTTGCATAATTCGGTTTTTTGGGTAGCCCCTCATATACAAAGATGAAACATTCTTGGCTAAAAGCTTAGATTTCTAGCTTCAAAACAGGGACTTTTCACTTTTCTATTACATCAAGACACCAATAGAATTCCCTTACATCTATCTTTGAAGTAGGATACTATATTTTCAAGATCTACATATTTTTACTATATTTTATAGTTTTCTAACTATAAGGGAATATTAAAAAGAGAAAGTTCTTTATAATGTTCATCTTTTCAAGAGAAGTAATCACTTTTAATGCTTTGATATATATAAATACATTCTCATCTGTCAAATTCCATTTTGGTGAAATTGTTGTAATTGTGTAATAGGATATATACAAAGTAGACCTGAGTCCTATATGTTACTTTATTAACAATAGTTTTAATCATATATACAAATCTATAATTTTTCATAAGACTAGGAAATATTTCATAAAAGGTTGTGCCATTAATTATTGTTAAATTCTCTAAAACACATTAAGTGAGGAACAGATAGCCTTTCAACAAATGGTGCCGGAACAATTGGATCTCCACCTGTAAAAGAATGAAACAGGACCTATACTTCACATTATGTACAAAACTTGAACTCAATACTTGCCAATAATAGTCTTGGGAGGTGGGGGAAGGACAAAAAACTCAAAATAAATCAAAGACCTATAAACCCTAGAACCATAAAGACCACCAATGAAAAAATAGGGACAAACATAAGGGGCCTAATAGAGGCATAAATACACTACAGGGACAAACATAAGGGGCCTAGTAGAGGCATAAATACACTATCAAACAAAACGAAAAACATTCACACTATAGAAGAGAAAACAAGGGGCTGGAAACTTCTAAAATACATTTATTCACATTAAAAACTTCATCAACAAAGTGAAAAGAGAACCCACAACTGGGGAAATATAATTAACAGTCATACATAAGGTAAAAGGCTAAAGTCTAAAATCTATAGAAAATTTCAGCTTGTTAATAAGAAAAATAAAAACAGCCTAATCAAAAAAATTGGCAGAAGACATGAACAATTTACTGAAGATGACAGCCAAGTGGCCAAAAACCTTATGAAGAAATGTTCATGCTGATTTGTTTATTATCAACAAGAAAAATGCAAATTTCATGCAAATTAAAGCAACAATGAGATACCACCTTACTCCTCTGGCAGTTTAGTAAAATTTACATAAATAAATAGGAAAAAAAAAACCCGAAAAAAAATGCTGGAGAGATTGGAATGTTCTACATGTCTGTAGAATTTTACAACCACTATGGAAATCCATATGATGCTTTACACAAACTCAAGTACAATTACCTATGACCGTGCAACCCCTCTGCTTGTTGTAAAACATAAAGGAATCAAGAATGCAACACGAACAGACAGATGCACACCAATGTTTGGGGCAGTAATTTCAATAACAGCGAACACACGGAAACAGCCCCCAAATTCTGATTATAGCGGAAGAGATAAACTGGAACACTCATACCATAGAATAGTATGCATAAAAAAAAACGACTGCATCAAACAGCAAGCCATGGACAAAAATAGAGAGCACTATGCTTCGCTATGTTAATCTTATAAAGATAAATATTTAATGAAAGAAACCATTGGTATAAGAAAAAGAAAAGTGGTTTTCACACCCATGAGACTACTTTGAAGACTTGGAGGAGGAGGCCTGGGTCTCCGGTGAAGGCAAGGGGGGGGAAGCAAATGATGGATGGGCTGGAGGAGGACGGGTGTATTAGTCTAGGTACTTTGGAGAAACAAATCCACAGCAACACACGTATAAGAGAGAGTTTTATGCAAAGAAAATGTGCATCACGAAAACATCCCAACCCAATGCTGCCCAAGCCCACAAGTCCAACATTAACCCATTAACCCAACACCAGTCCACAAAGTCCTTCACCTCACATAACAGAGGCAATAATGCCGACTGCAGGAGGAAAGCTGAGTCAGTGAACATGTAATCATCTCAGCACTGGCAGGGGTCTCCACATGGCTGCTCCAGCACCCAGGGCTGCATCGGGATAGATCCATGCGGCTTCTCCTTGGGGATGTCTTGTAGGAAATCCATCTTGCAAGCTGAAGCAGGGAACTGCTAAGGCAGCTGCACCCGATGCAACCATCACAAAACAAGAGACCCGAGAACTAGAAAGGCGAGGCTTCACCACCCATTTATCCCTCCGCCTTTCAACCAGCACCACATGTGATTATCGGCCAGGCTGGCACAATTAACTAACTCAACGGGAAAGACGGCAGGAGGGGGTTGAAGTGATCCGCTTACTGATTTGATTTGACGAGCGAGGCTGGCTATGAAACTACACAGAATTAAAATAAATGAATAAGCATATGAAATAACAAACAGAGTAAAGGCTCACAGACATGACAACCTCTGGATTCCTACCCCACAGGTCTAAAAATGTTTAGGTCTAAGTGTCTCTAAAAGCAGGAAAAGTAAAAGTGAAGTGGACTTGGATCCTGTAGTGATATAGACATTCACTTCAAACAAATGAAAAAAATGACTGCTAAATTCTTTTTATGATTGTCATTGATCTTAGGGAGATTTTTAAAGCCATAGTTCAGTCATTTTCTCCCCAGGCATTTCTACCTATGCCAACCATTTTAGATGTTAAAACAAGCAAACAAGCTGAAAACTTGATATCTGGGTGACTGCATTTCATCTGAAATGTTTGGAGTAAAATTCATGCTAAGAAATGACGTTAAGTCCTCTTCCGGGGACGCTGTGCGGAGGCATTCAAACTGGTTCAGCGTCTGACCCACCGGCGTGGGCTGTCCCATGACACAGCCTCTGACAAGACCAGGCTGTCCCGGACCCCTGGTAACAGCATTGCTTACCTGCATGCAGAGAAGTTGGGAAATCGCCAACAGCTGCGTGTGGCGTGTGCCCAGGCCGACTTCGCGGGGTCCGTGATGTGAGACTCAAAGTTCTCGCGAGGTCGTCCAAAACCAAAATACACCTACGCAGGGCTTATGGGGGGTCCCTGGGCGCTAAAGGTGTCCGAGACAGGAGCAAGCGTGCTTTCCTTATTGAGGAGCAGAAAATCTCTGTGCGAGTGTTCAAGGCGCAAGCACAGAGCCAGCAAGCTAAATAAATACAAATGAAGCTTGTTTGAATAATAAATGAAATGACTTGTTCTGTTAAAAAAAATGATGTTGAGAAACAATTTCTGACAAGTATGTAAGAAAACTAGAGAAAACAACGAGGCACTTAAATTTGCATTTGGGGGAAAAAAAGAAGATGACGAAGAAACTGGAAGAACCTCAAACATCGTGGATTTACCCGGAGACGGTCACTGTTTGCGTCCAATGGGCTGTGCAACTACATAAAGTGTGCTTTCCTTTATATAGATTTTATATTTCACAAATAAGGGAAAGTATTTTCAAATGAGTAACATTAAAATAAAGAGAGAGCGCTAAGGGTCCCAGCTTTAAAATATTCCAGATCCCTTGTCCGTCAGTCCTAAACACTAGTCTGAGTGGTTTTAAAAGGAGGAAAAGTAAAATGGAAACTGACAAAGCCTTTTTATGACAAACAAGCTAGTTTCAAACTATTTACATAAATAAATTGGCATAGACCATGCACTATATCATGGACTGGCAGAAGAAGGGATGAATCTTTCTGGGAAAAATACAGCCAGAATGCTCCTTACAAGTGAGGGTGGGAAGACCCTGTCTTGGAAGCTTATCAGGTTGTGATGAACAGGTTTCTCCTGTTCATACCCAACATGTGTCTAGACCAGTGTTTCCCAAAGCGGATGATACCAACTGCCAGGGGTTCTGGAATGACCGTAGGAGCCTTTGAAAGCAGATGCCTACACTTTATCCTGGATTATGGACTATAGTACAAAAGTTTTTAATATCCAGGGTAGCACTGCATAATATTTTCTTAAAAGGGCATCACAGGCCAAATAAGGCTGAGAACATAAGCTCTAGACAAAGGATTGATTTGACCATCCTGACTATGTGTAGACAGATCCCTTCATCTTCTTTATTGTTTAATTTACTTTTCCTCACTAATTGTCTAGACAGGATTACACTTCTGCTACACCCTGCCAATATACGTATAACAGAAGCTATACATTTTTCATGGAGAATACGCATCTTAAGTGATTCTGGTTCAATGAATAAACAGAATGATAAGATAATTATCTGCCTCTGACTTACACCTCTACTATACTAATTGTTCTCAAGTCTACTCTGATTTATAGAAATCTCATGTGTATCAGAGCATAGGATCTCCTGTGGTTGATTTTTCAGAAGTAAATTGATAGGTGTTCCATCCAAGACACCTCTGGATGGGCCTGGGTCTCCAAACTCTTCTATAAGTAATCAAATGAGTTAAATAATGATACCATCTAATGACAACATATACCATCGTGGCCTTGAAAGTTAGTCCTGCCCTTCTCAGTACACAACAGCATTTGTTAACTCTAAAATCCAGCTTTTGACACCGTAATTATCTGTTGGCATGTCTGTCAAAGTCATATCTGAATTCTCAGTACCTTGGACATTTGGTACTCATGTGCTTCATTATATTGAGGAGGCATGCATTGAGCAGGTAACTTCTGATTAAATATATGTGTTCAGTACATATTTCATGATCTAAAAGAAATAGGTTTTGTACATCCAGAGGTCCAGTATTAACTCTTGCTCTTGTATTACTAGATGCATAAATTATAATGACCAGCATCCTAACGAATGGTATATCTGGTAAGAATATCTCACTTTTCTTATTTATGCTTTATGATATATACAACCATATAGGATTATGATCTTAGTCTTTTTCTTAAATCATTTGAGGTAGTTCATTAAATCATACAAGTTAATGAAATCCTGAGGGGGTCATGTGACTCAATATCAACAGAAGCTTTTCCTTCAGATTACGTATTTAATTGTTTTTACCCAAACCATTCCAGGGAAATCACTGCTTTTAAGAATAACCCACACCACCACCAACAAATGTTTTTTCTTGGTGTCTTGATCTTAAGGTCTGTTCCTGGTGCTGTTTGAGGCACTGAGTCAGAAAACTGCATTGGCTTGACCACATGGGCTCTAGTTTCTTAGACATTGTGTTTCTCTATATTTCCAGCTATTAAGCTATGCTAATTTATTAATTTATCATCCAAGTTTTAAGTCTGAGAAGAATTGAGACCCACAAGTTACAGGATAAGATAAAAAATGATAAAAATATTTAAAAAATAATTTGCTATTAAGGGACTTCCAAGATAAGCTATATATATAGACTCATGGTGACTGTTTGGTAACGCATTAAGCTGCCAATCACAAGACCAATATTTTGAACCCACCAGTCACTCTGCAGTCTTTAAAAGATTGAAAATTTTGCAAACTCAAGTGAGGTAGTTCTCTGTCTTATAGCAGCACTATGAGGTAGAATCGATTAGATGGCAGCAGGTTTTCCTTGTCATATGAGTGGTTATGCAATATACACAGAGACTACATGTTGGATACCACAATGCCAGAACACAGCTTGAGAAGAATGGAAAATAAAAAAGAAAGTTGGAATGCACATATAGGGAAGGTGTGAGCACAATTTAGAGGGTCAAAAATGTAAGACTTCATAGTAATTTTCGTAAATAATTTCAAGGTCTAATTTTTTTCTCTTAAAATTATGCACTAAGGATCATTCATGTTAAATGTTTCTGGGGTGAAGGTGGCTCCCAGTTTCATTATTTAAATATTTTTAATTTTTAATTTAAGAGTTTCTGTGCATTGGTAGAAAAGTTTTGCTTTCTTATAATAAGAACGGAACATTTTAATTTTAATAAAGGGGATTGAACTGTGACAGACCCATTTTGCATTTTGGAACATTCGCATCTCTGTTTATTGTACCAAGTTCATTACCAGTCCATCAATTGCTCTTTGCAATTGCATTCTCTGCAATGGCAGAGTAGAAATTTGCCACTGGGCTTCGGAGGCTGTAAATCTTAACGGGAGCCGAAAATCTCATCTGATTCTTGCTGAGCAGCTGATGGGTTCAAATAGATGACTTTGGGTTTGAATAGCTGACCATCAGAACTCCTTATTTATTGTACAGCAACTCTTATCTATCACTCTTTTATAAGATAACAAACTGGAACTGTCTCCATTCCAATAAAAGTGAAGTGATAATTGGGGAAAACTCCACGTTCATGTAATTTGTACAATTCAAATATATAATTGGGTCAAAGGAAGTTTAACTTGACCTAAATATTTAGTGCAACACAAACTACTTTAAATAAAGCCAATGATATTTCTTCTGCCTCAGGCTAGCTAACACTACATTAAAATATCCTGATGTTTATGGGCTAGTGGAATGAAAAGTAGTACTTGGCATATGTTCTATATCTCAGAATCTAGAGCTTCTAGGGAAAAATTGGTGCTATGTTTAGAACCAGTACGTAAATACAGAAACAAGTCAAATACTTGAGGCGCCAAAATGTGTTACCTAGCATAATAATCTATTCTTATGATGGATAACTACGACAAAAAATTGTTCTTCCTCATAAAATGTACCATAACAACTCTTGCATAGTGCTGCCCTAACAGTCATTCAAAATAAGACTTCTGCCTCCTTTGTGAGAGAGTTCTTTAGAAATTTTGACACAGTTGTTTTAGCACACTAGATCTTGATTTTTGGATTTCCCTAGCTAAATATGACAAGTTCACTCAAAGGTAGAAAAAAATTAATTTATAAATAAATTTTCCTTTGAAAATTCCCCAACATTCAAAGGCAACAATTAGCACTCCTCAGGAAGAAATGCCCATTCTGAGCCTTTCTCTAAGCCCAGTGGCTGTGTATGGGTCCTGGGGAGGATGGTTCTTAAAGAACTCAGCATATGAGACTGCTCAGAGTCAGCCTAGCTGTCTTTGCCCCTGTGCAGGAAGTAACAGGAACTCCTGACTTTGCCTGGTACCGCACCACTCTGAGCCTTCTCTCTGCACGCAGGGTCTTGCTGACGGTCTTCCTGGTAGTTCTTGTCTGTGGAACTGCACTCCTCTGCCTCCAGTGTTGCCTGGAAAGATCCCAAGTGGTGTCTCCGAGACACACTGTGGCTGTTTTTGCAGTGGGAGATGTAGAGCCTGCTTATGGTGAGTTGTTTGTGGGTGCCTGGACTTTCTGTTTTAAGCCCCAGTGGGTTTGTGGTAAAATGATAAAGAATCTTCTGAAAAGAGATGGCCTATCGGTGACACAGAGATGAGAGGATATAAGTGAAAACTTCAGAAGGAAAGACCAGAAGAAAGACTGTGTTGAAGAGAGAACCCCCTCATTATGGACGATGAGGATGGAGCCTAGACACTTTGCTCAGCCATCAGCAGGACAAAGGAGAGAGAGATAGAAGGCAATTCTATGTTCCAAGTGTTTGGTAGGGTTTAAAGCATAGACTAGCATATTTTGAACTAAGAACGTTCTCTCTCCTAGTTTAATGATTTCATTTACTACGCTCACTAAGCCTCACGTAAAATATCATCAATAACACTGAACTGCACGTTCCAGATTTTCTTCTGTGAATGTTGTCTTACGAGTTGGAATTGAGCAAACAGGAATGAATACTCATGTCTTCTCTCACCAGACACATTGTACCACCCTGACCAAAACTATTCCTGAACCCCACACCCAACCCATCCCCAGCCCATCATTTTGCAGTTTGAATTAGGAAGTAAGGCATGGAGGAAATGCAAGGCTCGAAGTGATTTGCTCCAGCCAGCCTTGGCTTCATTAGAAAATGGAAAGTCATTTACGGATCTTGAGGATGCCATGTTTGATAGCTTTGTATAGTTCATGTGAAGTAAGCACTGCACTTTCAAGAAATCATCCTTTATGAACTATTCCCTCTAAAGTACTGCATGAGATCCCACTGTTGCCAAAAAAGTGCTTATTTGAGATGAACAGCTGCCCTTCAGAGTCAATACTCTTCACAAATATAGTTGGACAAGTTTTAGATTTTCAATTATAGGCCAGAGTATGTCCTGGGAAAACTAATAGCAAAATTAAAATATAGGGTAAAAATAAACTAATGTATTTTAAAAATACAACTCAGAGATTTAGTGACTATGTTCACATTATTATTATTTACTGTTTGGAATGAGTTGCTATTTGACATGAGAGAGTGCCAACTTGAGGAATGGTTATTTTGGAGGAGATAATTAAATTCCCCACTGGAAAGTTTTTGGGTTTTTTTTTAAAACAACAAAAAAGACCTTACAATTTCCATAAGCGAGAATAAACACTGACCTCAGAGGTTAGTGAAAGACGTCAACCTGTTACTTTCGGAGACTTTTTCTTAATTTAACTACAAGCATTAATAAAAAGTCCAATTACATGTTGTTAACTTTAGATTCCAAAGAACATTCGGCCGGCTCTTTCAATATGTACCTGTGACTCTGAAGGAAAACGGAAAACTTTGAAAGGATATTATTCAGATAGTGATGATTTCATTTGTTTGTTAAAATATATGGATGAATTTCAAATAATTTTTAAATTGTTTGAGGAACAGGATTGGTCTTCTGTCTCAAAAATTTGTCAAACCCCCTATCTTGAAGTTTATGAATATTGTTTTTAATTTTAAGGATTTTTTAAGCTAGACAGTTTCATACAATTATAATTATAAAGACAGCTTAGGCACCATTGTGACATACCCAGGTATTGGATATTTCAATACTTCTGAAATGGTGTTTCGCAGCTGGTATTGATGTTGGGTAATCTTTGGCCTGCTAACCACAAGGTTGGTGATGCAAAACCATATTATAGAATCCAATGCTTTGCAACCCTGTGAGGCAGGGTAGGAATGCTCCACAGGGTTTCTGAGACTGTAGTCTCATTTTGTACAAGAAATATTTATACTTTCCTTCAACTTGAGTTGTATTACAAAGCTCTCTTCTATTTATTTTGTCATAGAGGCTATGCGATCACTTACCTCTTTCCATTTATTTGATTACAAATTTAGTTCCCACCCAAGATTGGAAATTAGGAGATCCCACTCCAATACTTATCATCTATTTTATCCCATAGATGTCCAGGGTAACTGTATAGGCATTTGCCAGCAGGAACTCAAGGGGTGCCAATCACATAGTCTCTGATGTGGATTGTTTCTCCTGGATATGTGCCATTTAACATTTCTAGTTCCCCTCTGTAAATAAATACCCAAAAAAAGTGAATTTAGAGAGTGACACTCCCTACAATTTCTATTGTCCTCTTATTAATTAGAAGTTTTAGGAAATTAGTTCCAGAGAACAAAGATCTTCAGGCCCTCTTAAATTGAGAAACACACTGGATCTTATTTCCCCAACTAGGTCAAAAGTTTTTGCCTACCTCGATATTTCTATGAGGGATTTCTTTCGAGAAGTAAAATTAGAGAACTACTCCAGGATATTTCTTACTATACACGAGAGCCAATGCTTACACTGAACCCCTGCTTCAGCTGCTCTAACAAAGGATGCTCCCCTAGCTTAGGACTGAGTCCAGCTACTGCTGCAGCCATTCTGGTTAAAGGAACACACTGCAGGCTTTAGGGATGCATGTGGAATGCTTCGCCTCAGTCACTTTTCAGAAGGGGTGAGGAAAATGAGAACTCCTCAGAATGACAGTGCTGACATAGTAGAATATAAAATACGGTTTGAGGACTCACTGCCACTCTCTTAAGCTTAAAGAGGAAGATAAGATGATCTCCCCTGAATACAGAATAAGGGGAATGGATAATTTAAAACACTTTAATGGAGAGGCTAGATTTGATCTATTAACCCTGAACTCTTCCTAGACCATTATTTTCTTTCTCCAAAATGTACTTATGTAATTATAATTATTGGCTGAATATATTAGTTGAAATTGCTCGGCTCTGCTGTCTGGTGGGTCATAGGTCTGACTCCCAGGACCCCATGGAATTTACTCTCAACTAAGAGCCTAGAGCAGTATTCCAGCAGAATGTCAGAGAATGGGGTTGACAGCAGCCCGGATGGGGCCAAACTGCTTGGGAGACTTATCCTCCTTACATTTCCACTGAAAAAAAGGTGGGGACAATGTAAGGAGGAGAAGAAAGTGTTGTCCTGAAAAGCAGAGGGTGAAGAGTGAAGAATGCCAAGAAGGAGGAGAAAGAAGAAAGGAAACCAAGAGAAGAAAACTCTAGCTTGAAGTTGCAGATATTTTAAGAATTAAAAAGAAAAAAAAACCTGTTTATTTTATATGGATCATAAAATTGTCTTTTGTGGTGAATATGTGTAACAAAACATTTTCCATTTCAACATTTTTTACAAGTGCAATTCTGTACATTAATTAAATTCATTATATTCAACTCTTGCCATTATCCATTTCCAAAATCTTCAATCACCCTTACCATAAGCTCAGCAGCCCTAAGCAGTGAGGCCTTCTTCCTCTCCTCACCACCCTCTCCTAAAACTGGTAACCGCTAATAAACTTGGATCTCTGAGAACTTGCCTGTTCGGATGCTTTGGTTAGGCGCCCTCAAGGCGGTCCTGATTCATAAAGTCCCCATCTACAACAGCTTCAAACACCTCCTGATTCCACGCCATCCTCACAATTGTTCTTGTTTTTCAGCCATTGGTGCGGCCACTGTGTCAATCCATTTTGGTGAGAGTCTTCCTTTACTTTACCAAGTATGTTATTCTTTTTCAGGGAGTGAGCTCATGTCCAAAGTGTGTGAAACAAAGTCTTACCAGCCTTGCTTCTAAGGATCATTCGGGCTTCTTCCAACATAGATTTGTTTGTTCATTTTGCAGTCATGCATTACTTGTCTTCTTCTGACTGACACATTTTATTCCTCTGCATAGTATTTGAAATATTTCTCCATGTGGTCCAGCCTCAGGCCCCTTCTGGGCAATCTCATCTTAGTATCCCTGCTCTGCTTATTTCTCCACACTACTAATTATCTGGCATTGATCATCTGCCTCCAGCTCTCTCTCTCTCTCTCTCTCTCTCTTTCTCCTAGTATCCTGAAACTGATCCATTTCATTATCTTGTGCTTTCTTGAGCAGAATCACATATTAAAAAGTATCCAATACCTATTTTTCCCCTTTCAGCCAGCAGAACTTAACATAATTTTTTTCAGCACTGTTAAAAGAAAAAAAAAAAACTTCATTGTTTCAATGCTTTCTTATCTCATTACTGTACCTATTTTAATGAATAATTTGGAACCCCTCCTTTCTTAATAGCTCAACCGAAATTACCCCTCTCCTTGATAAAATGTGGAAATGAAGAGTGAGATTACATATTGGGTAAGAAAAAGTTATTAATTTTAAGGAATTACTCATTTTTAAATCTACTTACATTTGTAAACAATGCTCTCCAGTTGCAAAGCTAAGGGCTACAGTTGCAAGTAAGGGAAGAAGAAAATGGATTTTAAGAAGACATATATTTGGCTTTGTGGGTTAGGTTAGTTGTTTTATTTATTTCTTAATTCTATGAGTGAAAGCAAGTCATTTCAGAGGAGTTTTAAAGTTCATAAAAACAAAAGATTTATTGTTGCTGTTGAATCTTTGAAAATAAGGATGTATAGATTGTGTGGCTGCATACAAGCCTATACTTATGTGGAAATTAAGACATGTATGAGGTCCCTGTATGGAAGAAATAGTTTGCATGTGACTGTCAACCCAAAGGTTAGCAGTTTGAACCCAACTAGTGACACTGTGGAAGAAAGGGCTGGCGATTTGTTTCAGTAAAGATTTCAGCCAAGACACACTTCGGGGCAGTTCTACTTTCTATGAGTCCATCACTCAGAATCAGCAAGTAAGACGTTTACAGAAAATACAGGAGAAAACATTTGAGGTTTGTCAGGTAAGAGGACCAATAAGACTTGAGGCAGGAAGATGATCTGTGTTCATTGGCAAAGAGAAAATTGGAGAGCATAGAAGAGGAGCTGTCACCACTGCTTATGCATAGTTTTAACAAAAGTAATAAATTACCATAATATCTGCATCTGAACCCAACTAATCACCCCCACCTAGTGCCTTGCCAGAGAAGTCCTGGGAGCAAGAATATAGCAGACATGCCGTCCCCCTCCCCTTTTACATGCCTGTGATTTTCCTTAGGACTGATGTGCCCGATAACGCTGCCCATCAACTAGCCATTCTCCATGGCC